TATTGTTGCAGTAGTAAGCGTATTCACTTAAAATCATAAGAAAGACAGGAAATGAAAATATTATGGATGTAACAGCAGCATTACTGGGCCTTTATTATGTATAGTACAATTTTCATCCACTGTTGAGTTTTACAATATTCTTATTCTAGTGCTCAAGATTTTCTGATTGCCAGTGCTTCCAAACCTGTGTACCTCCTTCTAGCACAAAGAGAGTTATTAAAACTGGAAACAAGATCAGTCCTGAAGAAACTCTCTTTGCAATCTCCACACAGGCTGAAGGAGGGATTTGAATAATACATGCTTATTATATACCACTTACAATTTCTTTAAATATCTTGCCTTTTTATATCTCATTAGATATAGCTCTATATCAAATACCTAAAGTCCAGATGCTAGATCTACCTATTTTCTGTTATCTAGATCAAGTATCATATCAAGGGAAAAATATTCCTTTGGATGGCCACAATCTACACACCTTCCACTTCATAACAATTTTTACTTATATTCAAGCCCTTAATGATTCCTTTCTGTACTGAAGCTTTCAAAATATTATTGAAATATTATTGCAAAGCATTGCATAACAGTGAGTTCAGACTAAAGGGTATAACATACTACATCACTCTTTTAACCCATTTTTCCATCCTTTTCACTAGAAATGCTACCTGTACCAAACAATCAGTCCCACAATGTCTGTTTTACAGTTTGAAAAACTTTGTTATGAATTTTGGCTATTTTACCTTATTTTCACATTTAATTCAGACACAGATCAGAGATAGAGACTATCCAGCACCCTAAATTAACCACAGAAAACTCAGTGTATTTTAGTATCTATTTGGACAGCAATACTTCTTTCCTTGGCATCTCAGTTCCTACTAGAGCCTTTTCTCTTCCCCAATGTCAAATATCAACACGCATCTCTATTCTTGTATAAACACGTACGTTAAACAAACAAACAAAAAAACCCAACATATTTTCAACAGCTAGGGATAAGACTAAGCAAATAAGTTTCTGTCAATACACATGCCCAAACACTGAATAACTATTTAAACACCAAACACAAATTCTGAAAATATAAATAAGTAAATAATTCCACTTTACTAAAAAAGAATCCTGAGAAAGTAACTAGAACTGGAAATTATTAAAACAGTATAGGAAGGAATCTGTGGTTTTTAACTTTACTGCATCTTCTCCATTTTGATGAAGGTTGGTTTATTATTTGATTTGTGGGTAAAATAGATGAACAGAGTCCCAGTGCTTTTGCTACTCTCAGCCTGATCAGATGACTAACAAGTCAATGTCAAAACTCTTTTCTGGTGCCTTCTCTGGCTCCAGGCTTATGGTGCCCTATTAGTAAACCACTCCTTATACGTCACAAAAGATGGCTCTTACAAACAAATCAGGCAACACTGGGTGAAACAGACCTCTTATGCAAGATCTGTGTATTTTTAATTTTTATCAGGGGTTAAGTAGGATCCTACTAGCTTGGGTGGTTCCTTGCCACTTGATCAGTTTTCATCTCATAATGCCCAGCATTAGCTTGCAGGATTAGCTGATAGTCAATGGTGTGCAAGGCTTCACAGAGAATAGAAAAAACCCTATTAAATTTGATCTTGCAGTCATCCCCAGGGAACAACAACAAATTAATTTACCCCCTTATTAAGGAGGTTACAGAGGGTAAAGTTATCTGCATTTAACTACTGTCTGCCTCTTTTGTGCATGGGTACTACCTATTAGTGCACTATGTTTTAATGCACTATTAGCCTAAACCCAGTATTTGGGAACCTATTATATTGGCAGTCTAGTTTTCCTAACTGGATTCCTGTGCGAACAAGTAGCAAGAGGAATATGAAGATTAAATTATTAAGATATAATTAATTTTCCTGATTCTAAAGCATGATTCTTTTATGGTGCTAATGAAAGTCAAATTTAATTAGTTTTTGGGATATGACATGAAAGGGTTTACCAGCTTTCACAAAGGATCATAGAAAAATATTTTCTGAACGCAAAAACTCACTAGTTATTTGAAAATGTAAGACACAAGAAAGATGTGACCAAAGTGGTTGAACACATAGGAAGGAATTATGTTAAATCTCAACTGAATTTTATTTTTACACAACCCTTTTAAAATAGGAAATATTACAAATGTTTCTCTGTTTGAAGACCTCAAAATCTGGCTATAAAACAAAGAGCAACTGAGGCAAAGTTTAGATATGTGAAGCTAATATGAACCTGACCTGTCCAGAACAGGCAGAGCTAAAATCCCACAGCCTTTGGGGCAAACACTATGAGCCTTCTGGGTATCAAAACCATACTCTAAGTTTTATAGTTGTTTAATTCCCAATAACCAATGCGGTCATAATTTGACTTTTTTTAATTCAGTATTGAATTGTTTTACATATATAAGGTTATGAATAGTTTTCCAGCATCTGTTTTGGGGGGGGACGGGAAAAAGTATTATTTAAATATAATCATATCTTGTTATCTGAGGTTTATTACTTGATCACAAATACATATTCCAACGTGAAAAATAAGAGTTAATTTATATTTTAATTAACAACTTAATGTAAATTATTTTTTAGTACTCTCATAGCCTGATATATTTGCATTTATTCACTGCAACTTGCTGTCGAACTGCAATCAGCAGTGTCCACTGAAAAAATTGACTTTAATGTCAACTCAGCAAACTCTCTACTCTCCCACGCTGCACTTAATTTCAAAAGTCCCAAGGCACAGGGACGAAGCATTTAGAAAAATACATAATTTCAGAACTGCCAGTATGGTCTACTGGACACTTTTATAGTAAACATTGAAAAGTGCTAGGACCCGGGCCAGACCACTGCAACTCTATTGTCAATGAAGCTTAATACTCACTGGCATATTTGAAAGTCAGTTATGACTCTCCCAAACAATTTGCAGGCACTATTTGGAGGGTAGCATGAGTCAAAGACCATTCGCACTCAGCATTTAGGATGCAGCTATTCTGTTTTAGGGAATAAAGTGATTTTACAATATCAGTGTAGTTGTATCAGTTGGGCCTGAGGCCAGAAAACGGGTTCTGGTATTGCTCTCTTTCTGTGACAAGAGGTAGATTCTGAGGCCGCAGGGAAAAGTCGTATTAGAGATGGTGAACTATTTGTTTGGGCATATTTGTAAAAAATCACCCAAATGATAAATCACTGCATTCTGACAATGGTTTTTAAATTATTAAAAAAAAAAAAAAAGCCAATTTATTTTTTTGGGGAAACAAATGCAGGGCTTGGAAATAACTGGAATTTTCAAAGGGATATATGTGACTAACTGTATTTTGCTGTCAGAGAATGTTACACAAACCCACAATTATTTATAATTCTTTCAAGCTACAACGTCAAAAAAGATCTGCAGGTTACCTTCTAGAAAGATTCATGCCAAATGCCAAGAAATTTCTGTCCTAATAGTAGTTGTCATAATTTTTAAAAGATTTTAAAAGATTTCTTTTAAAAATGGAACGTTACTGAACCCAAACTAATACATAGGAGCACGCATGTACAAAAAAATTTTGAACACAATATAGACTGAATATTAGGAATAAAATCACTTGAACATAAGCTAATGCTGCTTGACCGAACAGCAAGTGTTTCCATTTCATTAATTTTTTAAATAAAAAGTGTGGTAAATTTCACTATCGATGAGAGGGCAGTTTTTTCACTTGTGCTTGAGGAAAAATTTCTTCACTGTGAGGGTGACAGAGCACTGGAACAGACTGCCCAGAGAGGTGGTGGAGTCTCCTTCAAAACCTCCCTGGATGCGTTCCTGTGTAATATACTCTAGGTGATTCTGCCTCAGCAGGGGGTTGGACTAGGTAATCTCCAGAGATCCCTTCCAACCCTGACCATTCTGTTAGGCTTGGCAGGGGATAAGGATTTTAAGATAAAAATCTCAAGAGTAGGATCCGCTGGAAGACTCCAAACCATCACCTTACATTAAAATGTTTAGGGTAAATAATCAAACCCAATAATTTACATCTTACACCCTACACAGAATGATCAGACTTGTCCACATGAGCAGCCTCCTGCACATGACTTCTGCAACATCACTATTGGTCGATGATCCTAAATGCCTTTGCAAATATTTGCCTTTGCAAACATATATATATATGTTAAAAGCATTTAACAATGCTTTTCAGTAGCAATTAATTGTAAACAATACTGTGCAGGTAAAGTGATAGATACATAATGTTTAGGAATCATAATAGAACTGAATCAGAGTCTATACTGTTTCTCACCAGTTCTGCTGCAAGAAACACCATAAGGAAGGACATTTGATTTTCTGTGACTGTCATATATTCTCATTAGTCATCCCTATAAAGTAAATATTAGTATTTAGCAGTGCACATATATGCATTTGAAGAAAAAGCTTTCACAATAAACCTTTCTAAATTTTCTCTTTTTCAGTCTATAGATACTTTACTAAGTCTTAGACTTGATCTTTTGCTATTTGCTTATTTCTCTGCTTGTGTGACTACGTACAGAAAACTTTGGATTTTTTATATTTACAAATGAGGCCTCACTTGGTAATGAATTTCTGAAGTGTGTATGTAGTATTGAAAAAAAACTACAACCCATAAACACTACTTGAAGAAAAAATATGGGATTGTTTAACTTAGATATTCTCTAAGAGCTCATAAAAATGTTAAGATCCGAGTCTGATGCTATGAAACAGTACCATTCTCATCTGACCTGAAAAATGTCTGGCTATTCCAATCTCTGGAGAAAATATACTTCTCAAAAATTCTGCTACAGGAGGAAAGAAATTTATAAAAAAATAATGTATTTTGCTTTGTGTGATAGAAGTTTGTGGGGTTCTTTTACTGATTAGAACAAATTGGAGTCTATCAAGGTTTTGGAGATGTATGAATCAGTAAGTAGGCCCTATATATTACTACACAGATATTTTCTTTTAATCAAGACTTAATTATTTTTGAGCATACTTTATTTTAAAACAATTTTTTGAACAACACCTACTTGAGGTCTTGGGAAGGTTCTGCTCTGATATGGGGTGTCTCCACAGAATGCCCAAACACTGCCCCTTCCGTGCCTAAAATACATAAATAAAATACAGTGTAATTACTTTGGAAAATAAAAACACATTGAAATGTATGACCATAAATTGACATTTTTAGGACAAAATACCTGATTGAATATTATTGATTATTAATATTTCTTCATATTTATATTTCTATTCCTATATCAAAATCTGGACAGACGTGAAACTTTAGACTTCTGCTTTTCAGTAGCTGAATTTAACATACAGATCTGAAAATATTTATAGATCCAACCTTTTCATAACTGACTTGCCTGAATGCTCATTTCAATACTTTGTATATGGGTTTCTTTACAGATAAGGAAAACAATATAAGAAGTTTGTTTGACAAAAACACATTTTAGATGCGTCTGATATTTTTGTATGATGCTCATTTTGCTTACTTAAATAGAGATTTCGAGCTTTCAAAAGTTTTCAAGTAACAGTCTACCACCTGAAGCTGCTAGTCTGAATCTCAATATCTGACACCTTCTAAGTTTTGTTCCATCAGTTTTCTCATTGAAAACTTTGGTTCTGAAAGAAATTAAAGAGACTTAGCAGGAA